AAGTATCAAACAATATTTGTGTGTGGACCACAGCATGGATAAAGCCTGCCTTGCTAGCTAAGACATGGGGCTGGACTGCTTTGTTAAACATTTGGGTTTTTGAGGTTTGTTTGTTTGTTTGTTTTTCATTTTGTTTAGGGTGTGTGTGTGTGTGTGTGTGTGTGTGTGTGTGTGTGTGTGTGTGGTTGGTTTTGTTTTTCGAGATAGGGTTTCTCTGTGTAGCCCTGGCTGTCCTGGAACCCTGGAACTCACTTTGTAGAGGCTAGCCTGACTTGAAGCACATTTCAAACAGGTCATGCCACTCACTTTTATGACTTTAACTGTTTCACCAGCTAACTGAGGGGCTTGTACTGCTTCAGCAACCAGTGCTTTCTTGCCAGAATCACTGAAAGACAAACACATATGAGGTTAAATTTCTTGGAAGAGCTTTCCATGGTGGTCCTATCATGTCATGTCCCCTGTTATTCAATACTTGGCAACCCCTAAAGTCTAGGGGTTTAAGAACCCACCAGGTGTTTTTGCAGATTGATTCTCTCCATAGTCCATACCCTGTCTAGTAGGTAGGCTCAGGCCTGTACAGTAGTAGTTACTACCTAGACCAGGCCTAAGAGCCAAGCAAGGAAAAGAAAACTGAGCTGCACTGTTAGGACCTGTGGCCTAGCATTTAGCAGTTGCCCCCAAATAAAACCCTCCATCTCCCCTTGGCTATCCAGTCTCCTGTCCTCACTTATAATCAATGACCAAATGGTAAGTATACATTACCCCAGTCCTAGGAAAACCCTATCCTTACGTATAGTCAATGTAGTCTTGTTTCCAGGTGGCAGGGGTGTTGTCTGTAGGTTTGCCATGCTTGTCCAAAAGGCCTTGCTTGATCATCATCTTCTTCTGACTTGCCTGGAGGCATTTCAAACATTAGATTATTATCAATACAGAAGTAGCCATTATTATCACACACCATGGCTTAGACACAGTCTGCACAGACTGTTACAAGGTTTATTTTTATGTATTCTCAGCAGGGCTTCATGCCCCTTACAAAACTGTCTTGAATTCTTCCCTCCTCTTATCATCATCAATATCTAACCTATTCTTCACAAGGTAAAAGTCCTTGCCCAGATCTATGATCTTTCACTTAGCCGGCAGTGGTGGCCCATGCCTTTGGTCTCATCATAGAAGCAGGTGGATATCTATGAGTTCAAGGCCAGTCTGGACTACAGAGCAGGTTCCAGGACAGCCAGGGCTACACAAGAGAAACCTTTCTGGAAAAACCAGGAAGAAAAAGAACTTTCACTGTGGATATTCTAGGAACCAAGCTTCATGTTCTTGACAGTCATAGTTCTCGACCCAACTGTGATTATTTACGTAAGTAATGCCCAAGTGTTTCCCTCAACTAGACTGAGAATCTCTTAAGTCCAAGATAGGGCATGCCTCTGCTTACCATCAATAATCTACAGCCCCAAATAATAAAAGGCTGTGGCAATGGAGATATACAAAGAGCTGCTTGAGTGGGTATTTAGTAACACAAATATAACCCAGCAAGGGCTACCACCTAGTGTCACTGACCTTTGGACCTAAACCCCACTTGCGAGGATAGGTGTCTCTCTCCATAATTACCCTCTTTATCTTGGCTACTATACCATGGTCACAGGTAGATATCACTGCTGTAGTCATCAATGCAATAGCTGCAGGCATTAGAAAGAGAAAAAAAAGAATGATTTGGTAATAGATGAGTTCTACTGTTTTATGCCTTCTTAGAACTCATTAAATCCTGAGCTTTTTCTTTGCATTTGCAAGAAGCATTTGAAGTAGTATTAAATTTACCAAATTAAAAACCACTCAACAAAAGCAACTGAAGAAAATGTAACAAGGCATGTATCTCTGGATAGGTACAGGGATGATGTATAATACCACCCTCAGGTCTATAGAGCATTTAGTTTTAAGAATCTCTTTCCTACTGTGTATCAGAATGGACCTCCCACAGGTACCCCATCTGTTCATATAACTAAGACAAGGGATCCCAGTGATATGACTTATTTCTGGTGCAAATTAGGATATTAAACAAATAGCCTGGATTTAACTGAGAAGGCCACAGAGCACTGTAAATTGTAAGGATTATCAATCCAATAGAAGCTAAGCCTTTACAAATTAAAAGTCAGTGATGTGCCAGGCGGTGGTGGCACACGCCTTTAATCCCAGCAGTCAGAAGGTAGAGGCAGGTGAATCTCTGAGTCGAAAACCAGCCTGGTCTACAGAGCTAGTTCCAGGACAGCCAAGTCTAAAACAGAAACCCGGTCTCGAAAAACCAAAAAAAGTCACTGATACTAACTACAAGTTACCTGACAGCAAACAAGGAGTGAACTAAAATCTCTCCTTTAATCATCACAGACAGCCATCACTACTCTTACTCTTGGAATTTCACTAGAGCCAAGAGCATATAAACATACAACACTCCTTAATCTGTACCTGACTAACCTGTCCATAAATTATTCATACAAACCCTAGGAGACACCATAATTAGATAAAACTAAGGGACCATGACATGGGACCGGCCTAAAATGAGCCTAGATTTGATGGTGCAGAGCCAATTCCAGAAATAATGAGGGCTACTCCCCTCCTTACCCATGCAGATAGCTTCCCCCTTGGTGGTAATGACCACAATCTCCTGGTTGACCTCAATGCCATCCTCATATCGGAGAACACCAGGAAGCATGATCTTGGCCCCATAGCAGATTGCATTCAC